CCGCCCCCCCAGGTCTCACCCTTGGGCCCTGCCCCCCCCAGGTCTCACCCTTGGGCCCCGCCCCCCCAGGTCTCACCCTTGGGCCCCGCCCTCCAGCCCCATCCCAACGGAATCAACATTCCTAAATTAGTATTAAAAACAAACAGTGCCGGTTTGCTTTTGTGTGGCCTGAGCTGGACCGGAACCAGCGATCAGCAGGACCACTGAGGACTCTACATGCGCCAAGGTGGGGGGAAGGATGGGTGCGATTGCTGGTGAAACCATTTAACCTTTAATACCAGAAACCGGAAGTATTTGATCTGGTTTGGGTTTCCCAGCTTACTTGGCTGTACAGCTCGTTCTCATTGGGGAGTTTATTATACATTATCTGGTGTCAGCGGGATAGGGGGCTGGACCTATGATCTGAATGTTGCTGGTTTGAATCCCGGGGTTGGCAGAGTGATTTCACTGCTGGGTGCTTGAGCAAAGCCCATAACCCCCAATTACTCCTGGGACAGCCTGATCTTGCATTTTCGCAAAAATACTTTGGATAAACGCGTTTCTTAAATAAATGTAAAGTAATCACCATCCTGATTGGTGCTGGACTACTGAGACTTGCACATGACTGTAAAACCTGTTTTGTCACCCATCTGGTCCACGGAATGTATTTGCTGTGTGTGAGCACAGAATTCAGAGTATTGATAGATGTGAAGATCACAACAGCTGTTAGCTTCTGTTTAGCTGCATCGCTAATGATATAGTTGCAGTAAAATGTTTTTAATTTTACATTTTTAAATTGAATATTCCACTGTAGGCTGCTGATGTCCTTTTCTCTGTAGTTACCCATGACATGTATATGACACTGGACTTAATCTTAGCTTTCTGCTGAATGTCATTGTTCCTGTGAGGAACCTGGCTTGGTAGGTCACCGAGCTTTTGGGTCTGTCTGGTTTCAGCCGCAAGACCTGCCACTACCTGCAGAGCCGCGGCAAACACGTACGCGGCAAATCGCCATGCAGCCACTGCGGCTCGCAGGACTCCCTGGATGAGCTGCCCCTGGACGACTACTGGAAGGAGGTGGAGAATATCCACCAGAGCGGCGCCGGAGATGCAGAGCAGCAGGAGGAGGTGCAGCTGAAGGTGACCGATGGTACGGCTACCTGGGGCCTCCGTGGGGAGGAGTCATGACGGGCTTTAGGTGGCGCCCCCAGGTGCTGAGTGGGGGTTAGGTCAGGTTCGTTTGAGATGCAGGTTTGTGTTGAGCTGTGCGCATGTCATTCTGTCACAGTCAAGCAGCTCTGTAAAAATCTGTTTTGCAGTCCAGCAAGGTTTGTTCATTTATAAGCTATCCAGATGTTCAGGCCATGTGTCCATCAGTCTGTCTGCTTCTACAGCATCATCCCGTTATTGGTTGGTCTTCTTGGTCTTCCAGCCTGCGACAATCCTGAACTGTCACATTCTTTACTCTCTCCAGGAGTCTTTCTGGTTTCAGTGGCTGTCTCGCTAATTCGTTAGACCGAAGTGCTTTTTTCATGAATCCATGAAAACACCCTTCTCGTTGCAGGGGTAGAACTAGCCTTTGTTGTACTTTCACAGTGCTGTGAATCTCTGCAGTGGAAGGGGGTGTGGCTACTTTGGGGGCAGGGCTAGCCTCTCCACCAATCCTGCTTTGAGTTTCTGCTAAAGGGCGTGGCTGTTTGGATGTTGCGCCTACCACGCCCTCTCCTGTGCCTGCAGAGGGTGAACGGGAGGAGGCGTGGCTTGCCGAGGTCGGCCTGGCCACCCTCATCGATGGGTCTGCCTCGGACCCGGAGGATAGCTTGGCGCTGCTGTCGACGCTGACGCGCACCCAGGCGGCAGCCGTGGAGAAGAGGGTGGAGACCCTCAAGCAGACACTGAGGAAGAAGAACAAACAGCATCAAGTTCCTGACGTGCGGGACATCTTCAAGCCCCCAGCGGCCCAGGCGCCAAAGGTAGGACGAGTCAGAGTCCCCTTGTGGTCAACAACTATGGGAGCATATCATCCTACTCCGTTAGTGGGGTGTGAGTTAGCATTAGTTATGCAGTTTGGCTTTTCTCTTTGCTCGGTTAAGAGGAAGCCCTGCCTTGTTGCTGTTGGAGCACCATGGGAATAAAACAGCAGTAGGGAAGATCTGACATTTACCTTCATTTGACATTTATTATCTGCTAGAGGTTTGCAGGTGAATCGTTTTTATATACAACTTGTGTGGTTTAAGGTGTTAAATACCATAAGTAACGTATTGTAAGTTTAGATTCTGTTTTATTAGATGTGGTTACGGTCATGGTTATAGTTAGTTAATTTCAGTAAACATTCTGAAAACCACAAGCTCCAGCTGGAGACGTAAAAGCTAGCGATGTGGCACCACGGTGTAACGACGAGGTCTCGACCTTCTGTTCTGCAGCTCGAAGTTGAAGTTCTGCCTGCAAGGAGAACTGAAAACGTTCAGGGGGAAGTCGGCTCTGGTGGTACGTGTGTCCCACACTTTGTGTGTTCCTGTCTGTGTGCGCATGCGTGTATTTGGGGCCAGAGTGCGATCAGTGCCTGCGATCAGAAGGTTGCTGGTTCAAGTCCCGTGTTCGGCTGAGTGATGTCATTGTTGGGCCCTTGACCCCAACTGATTCAGACCCTGCCGAAAGTGCCTGGTAAATATATAAAATGTAAATGCCCGTGTGAAATGTTTTTCCCTGCCTAGAGACAGCACCTAGCCCTGGTACAGTGTTGTCATATTTCCCAGGCTGATGATGGCATGCTGAGTCCCCCCCCCATACAGGAAGCAGGAAGTCCCCTTGATTTCCTTTGTCTGCTCCCATCGACGGCCTTCCTAAGGCGCTGAGCGGGACTCTTCTGTGCTGGATTCGACAGTTTCCACTTTTTAAATATCGGCTTAATCAGCTGACCCCCCCCCGTATGGCCGCGAGAATGCGCTCCCGCTGCAGTCGTGTTGGCGTTCGAGTCGGTGTTTTTCCCTTGAGAGTCTCCTGTGACTAATTATCTGCGCGTCCAGTGAGCAGGATCTGCGAAAATGGGGGAGGGACCCCGGCCGCAGGCATGCCGGACTCGGAGATCAACGTGGAGATCTCATTTTCGGAACAAGCCCTCCTCTACAAGGAAGGGCCAAAGGGCACGGAGGCCAGAGCCCAGAGTGACGTAGACGACAAGTTACCAGTGAGTGGCATTAAACATTAAACCGATCCTCTTGTTCAGTGCAAAGTTTAAATGGTAACACAGAGAAGCATTATTCTGCGTGTCACCAAGTACAGCCATTGTACAGAAACCAAAGCTTGTCTGTGTTTCTGCTTGTCATTATTATTAAATTTTAATTATTTCTTCCCTTTGCCAATGGGCTGCTGAAAGACATGTCATGTTTATGAATTACATATATATACTTGCATTTTTATTGTATGATAAATCTGTTATAAGACTGTATTTACGCTGATCGTTGTAATTTGTGTTTTGAGAGACACCTGGTGGTCGTCAAGGGGATTGCACACTTTGATTTTGCTGACTTTTTGTCTGTGAGGCCCCACACTGCTGGACTCCATTAGAAATCTGTCCTTTTGTTTTTCAGAATTTTAAAGTATCCAGAGACAGGACTGGTGTGACTAAGGTGGGCGACCTGGCCGCCCAGGACATGAAGAAAGTCCACCGGCTAGCTCTGATCGAAATGACGGCGCTATTTGACACAGCAGGAATCGACCTAAAACCTCAGAAGGCCCTCAAACTTAAAGTCAAAGGTCAGATACAGCATCTCCTGTTTCTTGGGTTCACAATATTTGCTCTAAAAACATACTGTTTGCCCACTTGTCAATAAAGAGTGACTCAGCTGCTGTCAGCAGAGTTTAAATATAAATGGTGCGCAGCTCCGCCTCCTTATGTCTAAATTTCACCTTGCTGGAGCGCAGCTCCGCCTCCTTTTGTCCAAATCTATCCTCGCTGGAGCACAGCTCCGCCTCCTTATGTCTAAATCTCACCTCACTGGAGCACAGCTCCGCCTCCTTATGTCTAAATCTCACCTCACTGGAGCACAGCTCCGCCTCCTTATGTCCAAATCTCACCTTGCTGGAGTGCAGCTTCTCCTCCCTCAACTTAACCTTTTTTATTAATGTCCCAAAATGTAGTAAAAAATTGAAAGTAAAGGGTTTAATTAAAAGATCAAATTTGGACTAAAATTTTAATTAGCTTAATGTTAATTTTCATCAGCCACTCTGACTTCTCAAGTGAATGAGATATTCCTACATGATGCCTTGATTTCTGTCCCGTGATTTTTATTTTGACTGTACTTCTGCCAAAATAGCACTAACTAGAGTTAAGATGTGTGTAAGAAGCAATCTGCAAAAAACTTGATACTTTAATGTATTTTCACAGGGGTATAATGAATGGATCTAAAAGAACATTACTTGTAGTGATAAGCCATTTCAATGCATTTTTTAGTTTCATTTACATGTTATGTTCAAAAAATTCAAATACTCTTTAACCGTAGGATATGTACAATAACCATTTCAAATAAGAAACACTGTTTATAACTAATAAGCTGCTGTACAGAGCAGCCCCCCCCACCCCCCATGTTTGCCCTGTACCTGGTAGGGCTCCCCCTCCTGTTCGATTCTGATATAACCCTAACCCTGGTTGTCGGTGTTTCATATTCTTGCAGAATCCGGGTTGTTTGGGGTTCCTCTGTCCACCCTGCTGGAGCAGGACCAGAAACGGCAACCAGGAACCAAGGTGCCCCTGATCCTACAAAGGGTGAGATTCAGAGCAGCACATCACCATAAGGCAGGGACATTAAAGTCCACAAGTGATTGAATTGCAAGCAAAATGGTCACTGATACCCTCATAGTAAAATGTTATATTGTAAGATGTATATTTTACCATACAAGGACAAAATTGCACTCCTTTAACTTGGCAGTCTGTTTTTTTTTTTTAATGACTCTTGCTTGTGATGTAATATGTGTAATTTTCTCCCGCAGTTAATTTCTCACATTGAGAGCGAAGGCTTGGGCACCGAGGGGCTTCTGCGCATCCCAGGTGTGGCTACAAGGGTCAAGGTCAGTGTCGTGAACAAGGGGGAATCCCTGCTTGTGATAGGGGGGATTCCTGCTTGTGAATGGGGTGGAATACATGCTTGTGAATGGGAGGGGGAATCCCTGCTTGTGAATGGGGTGGAATACCTGCTTGTGATTGAGGTGGAATACCTGCGTGTGAATGGGGTGGAATACCTGCGTGTGAATGGGGGTGGAATACCTGCTTGTGATTGGGGTGGAATACCTGCGTGTGAATGGGGGTGGAATACCTTTGTGTGAATGTGGTGGAATACCTGCGTGTTAATGTGGTGGAATACCTGCGTGTGAATGGGGGTGGAATACCTGCATGTGAATGGGGGTGGAATACCTGCTTATGAACGCAGGGGTAGAAATCCCTGCTTGTTAATGGGGGGGGGGGGATCCTGGCTCAAGATTCATGTGTCTGATGATGGATTCCAGCTGGGATCACACATGATCATTCCCAAAGTTCTCTGACCATTAGTGATGTGTGGGGAGGTGGGGGCCTGACTCCCAGGTTTTGTGGCCCCTGCAACCAGGCGGTGTGCTTGGAGCTGGAGGCGAAGTTCTACGATGGTATGTTCGCCTGGGAGACCCTGAAGCAGCACGACGCGGCCAGCGTCCTGAAGCTGTTCATCCGGGAGCTACCATACCCGCTGCTGACCGTGGAGTATCTCAACGCTTTCACCTCCGTGCTCAGTGAGTACATCTGCTGGCTTCCAAGGCCAGTCCACATCACCCTCCAGGAGATGCCTCCAGAGACGTAACCCTGACCATGCTTTCTTCTGCCCGTTGAGTAGAGCTTCCCACCAAGAAACAGCAGCTACAAACTCTCAATCTCCTGGTTCTGCTCCTCCCGACCTCGAGCCGCAGCCCTCTGAAGGTAACCATGACTCCCTCTGCTGTCATCCAAACTCTGGTTTCTGAAGAACCTCCAGGCTGGGAACCCTTAGCATGAGCTAAGCATGTTAGAACAGCTGAAGATGACTGTCCCTCTTTCCAAGACCTTTTGTTGATTTGTATGAGTGTACTGTATATGAAGTCTGACCATGTCTCACTGCTGTCACTCAGATACAGCAGACCAATCAACACACTTGACTCTGTTTTCATTTTTCTGATTGGCTACCGGCTGTATTAAGGTGTAGGCATAAAGTACTACTACTGATTGCTACAACACATGATATCACACCACAAATCTGTTTGAATGCAATTAATATATTTGTACCCAAGTCCAATGCAAGCTGGAATCGCATTTGCGTTTGCACCAGAGAAAAGCACTTTATGAACTACAACATGATATGGTCTTAGCGAGAAACAGTACTTGCACACAAAATAGCCATCCATTCATGAACGAATACTTTTGATCTGATTCTTTTCAGTGAATTCATTTTGTTTGCAGTTAGTTACTAAGTTTTGGAGTCACATTGCCCTATTCCTGTTTTTCAGGCACTTCTGGAGTTTTTCCGAAGGGTGATGGATCACAAGCAGCAGAACAAGATGACCCTGAACAACATCGCTGTGGTGATGGCTCCCAACATCTTCATGTTCAAGGGCTTCCGCAGCAAGGTCAGCGAGCTGCAGGAGTTCAGCATGGCGACGGGGATGGCCCACATTGTCCGCCTGCTCATCCGATACCAGGATCTGCTCTGGACGGTAACTGCCAGTCCTCTCCATTGTCACTGGGGGCCACTGCCATTTGCATGCTTTAGATGTGTCATCACAGCTCTTTGTGACGTGAGTTATTTGGATAGACAGTCATGCCACCTTTCAAAGATCAGAATTGGCTAATGAGCAGGAAGCAGCCTGATCTGTGAATAATGGCACATTCGCGTCACTGAAATGTTTGTAGTAGGATGAAACAGAAAGACCGGCCCTTCGTGGCATCGATGTGGCCGGGAGATCTCTCTCCTTGTCTCTCTGTATAAATGAAATAATTTTTATTATTTTAATAATTTTGTTTTCTTTCTTTCTTTGTTTATTAATCTCTATCTATCTATCTATCTATCTATCTATCTATCTATCTATCTATCTATCTATCTATCTATCTGTCTGTCTGTCTGTCTGTCTGTCTGTCTGTCTGTCTGTCATAATTTTGTTTATTACATTGTACTGTGCACAAGTCTCAGGCAGTCATTGAAAATCATGTAAATGATCTTGTTGCTGTGGCACCCTGCTTTCATGCCCGTGCAGGGACAAACTTCATGAAATCAGCCAAAATATTGGAAATCTAACACAGGAAATAATTGGGATCAGGTCATTTGTACAGCTGTCATATTGGGTATCCTGGGCTGGCTGGCATGTTACAGCTGAAGATCCCCGTTTGTCCTACATGCAGCAACCTATTAAATACATTTCATTGTTTGTCATGTCATTGTTATAAGAGGATTTTCGTTTTTGAGGCTACTTATTATTTCAAAAGCTAATCTTAAGCATCATATTTAGAATGCTTTGACTTTATAATATTTTGCAGTTATTTATGAAGCTGTCACATTTTGGGTTATTTAATCGGTGTCTGCATTTGTATACTCATGCTGTGAGAATATAGCCATAGTTTCTGACATGGCGTTAAAATCAACATAACATACTAATGCCCGTGTAGGGATGTTAGGAGACATTTAAATGGTCAGTATTTGCAGTAACCACCCCATATACTTATCTGTTGACTCAACCATTAGTGCACCATGTTTGGCTAATCAGTATTTCCTGAAGTTAATTATATAAATAAGTTAATTAAGTGAGCTGGTGATGAAATTTAATGAATACATGGAATGGCTGAGGTGTCCCTGAGGAGAGGTTTGGGAACTGAAGCGTGTTCATCTAGCCGTCCAACAAGATATCAGTAACTTTTTTGGAGAAGGGAATGAATTTTTGTTTGATTTTTGTGCTACCGTTCCTTTGTATATATTCTCATGTTGAGTTACTTTTAAATATACAGTTGATACCTTGATAAATAGCTTTAAACATTTTTTTATGCCTGCCTAAGACTTTTGCACTGTACTGTGTGTGTGTGTGTGTGTGTGTGTGTATATATATATATATATATATATATATATATATATATATATATATATATATATATATATATTATTTATAGTTTGGTTATGTTGTTTTTCCACTCAATAATTTCCATGATCCACTCGTGGTTATGTGCTGTACAAATTCCCGCTCCAGATTCCCAAATTCATCATGAACCAAGTGAGGAAACAGAACACGGAAAACCAGAAGAAGATGAGCAAGGACCGAGCCATGAAGAAACTCCTGAAGAAGATGGCGTATGACCGTGAGAAGTCTGACAAGCAGGAGAAGAACGCGGCAGAGGTGAGCGCCAACGGCAAGGCCGCCACACCGGGCCTGGAAACCATGAGTAATACAATTAGCGGAACAATCAAGGCACAAGTGTTCAATTACACAACTGTGTCACAGCTAGTATGAGGTGCTTGTGCTGGGTTCATTTCTCAAGGACTCTGTGGTGCCCCTGTGACACCTAGTGGACAAATTTAGCATTGATGTTTTGTATGCTAGCTGTTGAGACAATTACGTAATGGTGGAACCGGGAGGAATTGCATAATTTTTAACATGTTCTAACCAATATATTCGGTGAATCTGAAGAATATAATGACTTTATTATTTTTTTATTTGTGTAGGAGTGTGCTCAGGGTTTAATCCGTATCCAAGCCCCACAATTCTCTAAGATCTCCATGGCCGTCCAGCTGACGGACGAGCTGCAGGTTGCCGACATCGTTGCCCGATTCGTGAAGCAGGAAAGGTGAGAGCTGATGGCGTGGCATGTATCGATGGGCGTGCCCTTCCTTGTACTCAATCACCCAATGTATGAAATGTGTGGCCCTTAGGTTAGGACTCCATGTCCGCGTTCAGAAGGTCGCTGACTTGTGCCGCAGCCGGCAGAGTGATGTCACTGTTGGGTTCTTGAGCAAGGCCCTTATCCCCCTAATGGCTCTAGGGACTCTCTGACCCTGGTTTTTAAATTCTACACGGCATTGAATAAAAGCATCTGGCAAATTCATGAATGCAGATGTAAAACAGACGTGGCGCATCCAGCAGGCTTGTCCAGTTGGACTTGGTGTGCTCTTATTTTGAAAGAATGTTATTGGGTGGCTGAGGTCATTGGGTGCCTAACTGGTCCAGTGTTGTGTTTTTATTCCAGTGCCTTGCAGGAAAAGAAGGAAGATTTTTGCCTTTATGAAGTTGGAGGCAATATCAGTAAGTATCTGCACTACTGATCATGTTGACCTTGCAGACAATTGCATATGTGTGTGTGTATATCTATATGTATGTATATGTAAATATATATGTATATATATGTGTGTGGGTGTATGTGTGCGTGCGTGTGTATGTGTCTGTGTATATATATATGTATGTGTATATATGTGTGGGAGTGTGTGTGTCTGTATGTATACTATATACATATATGCACATATACACATACATGCATCCATATATATGTTAAAAATATACACGTCAGAACTGCTTTCATTCAGTAAACAAAAGTGTTATGCTAAATGCAGCGTAATATATCACTGATGTTAACTCTGTTTGGTATTTTTTACATTAGTGCACATATATTTCTGGTGTCTTTAATACAGATGAGCGCTGCTTGGACAAAGAGGCCTACATGAAGAATGTGATAGAGCTGAACCCCAGTGCGGAGTGGGTTATAAAGTCGGTGCCCTACTAAGACACGCAGGCCTGCACTCCCATCGCCACCTGCGGCGCTCTGCGCTGCCCCTGCACCAACTTACCCCACATGCTCCTTCCAGCACCTAACCCTAACCCTAACCCTACACTCAGAATGCTCATCCCATCCCATGGTTCCCCTGCCTGGGACAGGCCCTAGAAACCAGCCCTGGGTGTGCAGCCAGTGTGGAATAGGTTACTTTAGGCCGTTCATGCCATGTACCTACGCCTGTGACAGATGGACTTGGAGCTATGCTCAAGGTATTCTCAGGTTTGGGAGGCGGTTTCAGTGGGAGCTGCAGAAGACAGTGTAATGAGCCTGACATTTAAGGGCTTTTATAGGGAAGACACCACTATGGGCTCTTACATTCTGCTCAGAAAAGTGACTCAAAAATAACTACGGATTTTTATGCTGATCAGTCCGCTATTAAGTTTTTATTTATTTTAATTAATATATATTTATTTAACAACCCTGAAAATACTGGCCTATCATTCAGTTTCTGATATTTGTTGCATATGTAATCATTAGTTAATTTTAATATGAATAATACTGGTTTTAGTGAATTTTTTTATTTACACTAATAAGGTAATTAATCTACTGGCACTCTAGTCAGCTTTTACTGACATAGCTTATGATCAGGTGTTCTGTTGATGATTATGTAGCAATGCATAGCATTGTCCAGTGTCTCAAGGCTTTTAAAACTAGTTACCTTATAAGTACTTAGTTTTTTTTTTTTTTTTAAATATCCAACAGATTTTTTTGAGGGCCTATTTGAGTCCTTTGCAATCACTAATGTTTTATATTTTCTCAACACCAAGTGCAGGTTTGTTGGGTTATAATTTTTTTTGTGATAATTTCAATGCCTTAAAGATTAATTTTGCCTATTTGTCAACAAAACTGTACTCCAGAAGCACTAAATGCCAAATTGTGTGTGAAGCTTAAAGGGGTGATATTTCAGGGGTGACGCATCTCTCACTGTCCATCGCTGTGGGCTGAGGGCTATCCAGGGCTTTGGGACAGCCCTCACCACAGCGTCCTTAATAGCGCAGAGAGTTTTATCCTGCAGCCACTAGAGGGCGTCTGAGGTTTCTTTACAGTCATAGGAATGCTTTTTAGCCTTATATTACTAGGTAAATTGACTGATCTGGTGTTTAATGATGACATGCCAGTCAGACTAAGACTCTCTGTATGGCAAGCCGAGTAACCCTGATGTATAGGTTCAGAAGATTTTTTTCCCCCCCAAAGGGACAGATCTGTAAATAGACTTGGTACCACTTGTCTCATGTCGTAAAGCTCAGGAAGATAGAACCACTAGATCCGAGTTCATACTTCCCTTTTCCACATGCAGCTAAGTCCTACACACAAACACTTGTCTACACACTACATTTGCCTGCAGACGATCAAAGTTGGCACATACGTACTGCAGAGATATTCCACCAGACCAGCAGAGGGCAGAATGAATGAATCCTGGTCTGAATGAATTCTCTTCTTTGCCAAGTGGTCAGGAGATAATTTTTGTTCCCCATAATACGTCTTTGTGCTCCTTTAATGATGAGTATTTGTATGTGAGTAGCCCTGCACCTCCTCACACAGCTCTTCTGCTCCCTTTCTTTGCTGTTCTCTGCTCTGTGATAGTTAGTACTGCCACCTCCTGGAATCACATGAGCAGCTGACGCACAAGTAGTGCACTATACTCACAATCTGGGCTATTATGAAATTTACATCACTCACCCTGTGTAAACACCGTTACTTTGTGGAAAAGTGACGTGTGAATTAGACTTAGACCTTAAATATGCTAAAAAAAAAGAATAACTTCCCACAATTTTGTTGGGCAGCAAACTTCAACGCTACTGTATCATTTAAATTTGGAAGTTATGGAATGCCAGGGATTTATGGTTTCTGTAGACAATGTAAATTGAGTGGAGTGATTTATTTACTTGAATATCTGTTGAAGGATGTTTCCATTTGAGTCTTTTGAACTCTAATGTATGGAGCTATAACCACTAAGCCTTTTATGTAAATAAATGAATAATTAATGTTTGTCTGGCATTCATGCACTTTTATGGTCGTTGACATTTGGACGTTAGGTCCATAATAAGTCTACATGAGGAGGACATGCTTCCGCTGATGGGCACACTGGGTCATATCCAGGGCGTGCCGGTAGTCCCCAAATGGCACCTGGACGCACCGGGGGAGGGACAGGCGGCCGGACTGCAGGAGGCTGCAGAGGGAGGCCACCATGGCCTGCAGCTTGGCTGGGTCTGATGGGACGTGTATGGAGAAACGTGGTGGTTATCAGAATGCCTCCAAGCAGCTTTGGTGTTTCATGTTGATGTTCCTGTTTACCTTTTCTATTGTCTCTCTTCCACATGGTCAGCCAGAATCCCCTCAGATGTATGTTTTTGAATATTAGAGCTTTCTGTTTGGGAATGGATTGAGAAGCCTTATTTAGTTTTTCTTTTTTTTACCGTCACAGTGCAGAGCAAGTTCAGTTGTGCTCACATTACATGTGCGTCTGGTGATGACAGAATGACGCTTCATGATCATTTGTTGTATTTTTTTGACCCCACTTGATGGTGTTCTTGGTTTGCTTTGGGGCATGCTCTGTGCCCTTTTTTGAAGAGAGAGCGCCATCTAGTGCGGTCAAAAAATACAGCAAATGGTTCATGATGTGCCATTTTGTCCATTGCTGCTTACATCTATTTATTTGGCAGATGCTTTTGTCCAGAGCAATGTGCAAGCAAGAGAGGGAATACAGAGGCAGCTTAGGTCGGTCAAACAGTCAGTTTAGGTGCTATAAGCTTACCTTCCATAGAGGGACCAAAACACGTGCAGAATGGTTGTGGGGAAAAGAACTGTAAATATACTGCTTACAAACTTTCACTTACAGCAGGAACTGGCAGTGGTTTCCTGGCCATTCCTCCATATGTTACCAGTGTTCCATCGTGGCTAATAGGAAATAGACTTTGTTAGTGTAGCCAATGCAGAGTATACCAAACGAAATGTACAATTCTAATCCATAAGAGTTGGAGGTCAAAGGCTAGCAAATCCACTTACTCTAGTTGAGAGAGAAGATATCCGCTGTACGGACCCCCAACACAGTTCAGGCCTAGCTTAGGCCTTGGGACCTCCTGAGCTAAAAGTAAAATGGACTCAGTTTCTAGAATTTCGTGACAGAAAAGTGCAGCTCTTCTACAGCAGTTCCATTCTAGTTCTATACTGCAATGATGTGCAGGGGTTGAACAAAGAAACTGAAAACACCAGGTCAAAAGTGTTTGAGGTTTCACACCTGTGTCTGCATGGCTCTGTGGCCAGTCTTCACCGATCGCACATTCCATCAGTAAGGGCCAAGATCAGTGATGGTTTGAGGTGCAATATCATAGCAGTCCACTGGTTCTAGATCAGGGGTCTCCAACTGCAGTCCTGGAGAACTACTATCCAGTAGGTTCTCTGTCCCACTTGGCTTCTGATGAGCCACACCTGCTCCTGGTATTTACCTGAGAACAGGTGTGGCTCATCAGAAGTCAGGTAGGATAGAAAACCTACTGGATGGTAGCTCTCCAGGACCGGAGTTGGAGACCCCTGATCTAGATGGTGTTTTGGCAGAGCAAGTCAGGAAACATTTTCCTCCGCCAGAATCACATATTGACCTGGCCACTGTTCTGCAAGAGGAACGGCTCAAAATCCCTCTGGCCACTATCCAGGACTTGTATCTGCCAATCCCAAGATGAAATGATGCTTTATTGGACACAAATGGAGGCCCTACCCCATAATAATAAATTGTTGTGGTCAAAAACCAGGTTTTTAAGTTTCATTATTAAACCCCTGTAATATGTATGTAATACACCTGAAAAATGTGTATGCAATATTTCATACATCTAGTGTTGAAATCTTTCTTTTCATTTTACCATTAATAGATAAGGTAACTTCTGGAACATACCATAAAGCCAAACACAGACAAACTGGGCCCTTCAGAACCACCTGTCTACAGATAATATGAAGTACGTGTACATTAGTGCCTGAACTGGCATGTGGTCTGAGGTACTTCATATGCTTCCAGGAGAATCTTCTGATAAGCTACAGTGTGAGTGCTTATGGGAAATGGCCGGCTCTTTGGATGCCTGGCTGCAGAAAGCCCAGGTGAAGGAGCGTCCTACTGTAAAAGGCGTCATTAATGAAATCGAGCCACACGACATGCATCTCCAGGGGACCACGATTGCCCACCTCAACTCTGAAATACATTCCCAGGATAAACTGGCTCCCTTTTGACGAATTTCAGTCCTCTCTGCATTTGTCAGCTAAGAGTGGACTGCTGTGGTTTAACAGTTCTGCTGGTTGCATTATTGCGTTACGCTATAGGCTACATACAGCTAACAATTTTCCTCTCTCCCTCCACCAAAATCCATGCTATCTCTTTTTCTTAATTCCTGCTCACTCACCTGGAATATTCTCTCCATTTCTGACCCCTTCAGTGTCTCCTCTGTCACCACATAGTCTGCTCCCATGGACAGAAGATCCTCCACCACTTCCTGTTGGTTGGATCTGAGAAGATTTGTCTTATTGTATTACACACTTTAATTTCTATTGAGTTTCTTTAAGTCATTGTCTGTACTTCTGAGTGCTCATACCTGTCCCTTATTATGCATATAGTCTTGACACCTAATGCTGCGGCAATCTGGATGACTGCTTGTCCCACTGCACTGTTGGCTCCGTTCTGAATGACAGTGTCCCCTATAGGTGGGAGGAGTGAATATCCGCAGCCAGTGTTTTTATTGCATAGACACGTACTGCATGCCTTCCCACTGTGTGCCACATACCTGGCCGTAGTGGCTGGAAGTCATGCAGCATCCTATAGGCAGTACAGGGGTTGACCCCAATGGTAGCTGCACCCAGCAGAGATATGTCCTTGGGGACCTTGATGATGTCACTCGCATCACACACCGCTTCTGTCCTCCACGTTCCTTGAACATTGCACAGGAGGGTTGCTTAATACTGGCCAGTCAGGTAATAACAAACACTTATCGAGATTTTTCTCTCACTTGATTAGGGTTCCAAACATGCCAAAGTGAAACAGAATAATGTCATCTGTATGTGCTGCAGGCCTTTTATGTAGCCTGGGACATATTCAGGGGTGGGGCCAAAGGGACACTGGCTCCAGCTGATCGCTATTGGCCCCCAGAGTGTCCCCTCCCCTGTCACTCGCCTATTCAAAACAAATCATTGGCTAAAAATAAGGCTGGCCCCTCTGTATAAATGATGGCCTCTGTTATACTCCCCCCCCCCCACCACCTTGAAAAATCGTCCCTGAAAGTAGCAGCATCTCATTATTCGGATCTCTTACCAAAACCAGCACCCACAGGGATGGCCCAGTCTCCTGGGCTCAAAGAGGTGACATCACTTCCTACTTCAATGACCTCCCCGACGCCTTCATTTCCTCCCACAGCAGGGAACGTTGGGCGTATTGGATATGTTCCTGCACGTTAGTATAACCAATAAAAGCAGCATGATCAGGCTTTATTGTTTATGAACATGTTTTTAATGCTCATTCGTCATTTAGTTTATGTAAATGTGATAGATGAATGGAGGTGGCATTTACAGTGCTGTTACCTCACACCTTAGGCTCTGGGGGGTCGTTCTGTGTGTGCGGAGTTTGTGCCCCCCCCCCCACCCCACATATTGCATGGTTCCCCCCACAGCCCAAAGGTGTAGAGTTAAGCTAACTGTGTGTGTGGATTCTCTGTTATGGACTGGCATCCTGTCCAGGGTGTAGCCCAGCCTATGTCCTGTCCTGCCGACCCTGACCAGGAGAAGTGGTTAGAAGATGAATGGAACCTCCAAAAGATATCTCTACTGAAACCAAATAGGACGTCTGCACAAATCTATCTCTAGTATTCTTGAGACCAGGCATGAATTAACTGATGGGTTTTTTCAGCTAGCAAAATTTATCGTGGAGGAACCCAAAATCCAGGGCAAATGTTTGATCCCAGTCCAGCCCTGCTTGTCGCTCAAAGTTAAACAGAATATTTATACCAGCATGTATCTAGGCTGTCTAGGCTAACAGTGGTACTCTGGTTCTGCCCGGGCCTGACTCTCGCAGCTTCCTGCTGAGAGCTCTGCTGTCCTCCTCGGATCTCCACACCCTGGTTATAGACTCCGCACCCTGTAACCCTGCACCCCCACTGGCTCCGTCTCCCCATCAGAGCCTGTAGACGATCGTCCCCCTCTGCCTGTCATTCTTTCCTCTCTCTGTAGCCCCACATGCATGGTTTGTCCCTTGTCTGTCTGTCACCTCATGGTGCCTGGTCCCACCTCCACTGCCCTCCTAAAATAGACTCCCCTGGCGTTAGGATATCGATAAGCTGCTAATCTGGTTAACAACAATGTACAGCCGTGGAAAAAGTTGAGAGTTTCACTCAATTTATGAATATCTATGAATAATATGTATATACATATTTTGCAAACTGCTACCTGGTTCTTTCTTGTTTCGCACTAATTAAGGGCTTCTTCCGTGCTTTATGGGACCTCAGGCCTGCTTCACATTTCACACCTGTTTCCCATTCCTTTTGAAGGTCACTTGATGTCATCCTACGATTCATGAGAAACTGTTGGATAAGTTCACGGTCATCTCAGGCATTAGAAAGTCGCTTCCACCCTCTTCCTGGCTGGTTTCTGGTCGTTCCCAGTGTCTCCTGCTTCACCTTATTCTTGTGTACTGCTGTCTTACAAATTTTCAACCTAGAAGCAATCTGCTGCTCAGTGTAGCCTTCTGCCAGCAGAACCAGGATTAAACCGGGATTTAAAAATCCAGATTTGTTTAAAAATATAGAGTGGTTTCAATTTTTTCCACGGCTGTATATACTCTGCCAACGGTGTTTGTATCCAACCATGCAGATGTGAGAAAAAAGGTTTTTGAACCCTTGTATTTCTGAATGAATGATCTGATCACACACACACAGCACTGAGCATAATTACTCTCTTTTGTACAATGCTGTATTTGTTTGGTAAATGAAAATGGATGAAGGTCAAATCAAATTTTATTGCCCGTTCACCAAGAAAACCAGGTAATTATCAGATAAAGGACACACAGACTTTTCCAGAACTATGTATTCATGAGATCTTCATACGGTATTTTACGTGGACCATATCTATTACCTAACATCATAATAGATCTGATAACTACTATTGTAGAAGTTCTGAGACGTGTAGAGTTTTCTGTTTTCCGTTTGTAGTAAACATATAGTACCGTACTGAGGTAAACGCAAGACAGCATGCACCTTGTAGCATGTTGATATCCGCTGGATTCACTGGTGCAGCAAGTATCTTCAGTCTCACGCAGTGCTTATCGACTGGCGGTAAGGCCATTCTCTCCAGCCTTAGAACAAAAGACAGACATTTTATTGAAATGTTATTTAGTATTTACCATCACTCTTCCGTATTTTTTTTTTGTCTGTGATGATTTGCTCAATGGAATTGTCTGCAGGTGAACTGCATTGAATATTTACACACTTTCCTATTTTGTAAGGTCAAACGGTTCAATAGCTCTGTCATGGGGGAAATAGCACCCTCTAGTGCTTTAAATTGAAGTAAGCACTTAATTTCTCAGCAGACATTGAATGTGAACACGTTTTCAGTTGCCCTGCTGCCTTGTAGCCAAAGCTGTTCGTTATTAAAAATACAGTTGTTGCAAAATATGACCTCCAGAGAAAGGTTACTTGTATTTTGACTTGATTTTTACAAGGTCAGACTTGTAAAAGCGTAACTCTTGTTCATTCATTCATTAGACTGAAGAAATTTGCAAACTGCATAAATGATTCCCCATGCACTAATAATTATATAATTTAGTTAATTTGTGCTACTTACACAGCACTGCAATTTAATATTCAAGTTTATTAAACATTCACTCAACTCATTCATTAACCCTGGCTCTATCCATGGTTGCCCCTTTTGACTCCATGGAAACCTGACTTCCACCCATCAGCCAAACATTCAACCCAACTCTTGCGGAACTTTGTCTCTCTCCTAAGGGTCTCTGCTCAGCAACAGTGCAGACAGCACTGCGACATATAGAGAAAATTATTTACAAAAAAAATGCAGTTGTGTGGTAGCAAAACATCATACTATTAAAGACCAAATGGCATAATGACCTCATCAGCTGGATTTAGCTGGAGATAGATTAATCTGGACTCAGACCACATGCTCATGCAGAGTAAAGGGCAACCCTGCTGGCATCTTCATCTAGCTATTACTGAGCTGTAAAACAAATTTCTAACACAATTTGACTTAAACCCCAGCATTTCAGAAGAATAGTAAAAGAAAATCTGTGTGGCCATTAAAATACTTGCTATCCAAGTTCTCAAGTTTAATTACTTGATTCACTTAGAAGTAGTAATTAGGTGGAACTGGTAGCGTGGAAGAGCCTAAAATGTAAGCTATTTTAAACTCTCACAATAACTTTAAAACATGATGATGCTAAACGTTGAAAAATCACCATGTACAATGACTCAGCGGTTTGGCAACGGATGAGAGTCCCTCCATCTACTGGGTTGGGGGTGATGGTCCTCTAATGATCAACTTAAGCAGCATCAGCGTAGCTCAGTGGGTGTCAAATCTACAGCCTGGTCTGTGCCTGCTTTGTTTCTGGGGGGGTGGAACTTCCCATAAGGCAAGCGTAGGCAGCTGCCTAGGACCCACAAAAACCAGGGCCCCCTTGAAGACAAAACTTACGTTTAAGGATACAAGATAAATGATCATTTTACTTATAGTAAAATCTGTTATTGGCAATTTTTAAAGACAGTTTTCAGGATAGACAAAGTTACCACCCCCATCCAGACACTAATGGACTATTCCAACTTTGAGACTTCATGCTAAAATGCAACAAGAAACTCTGGTAGACTGGTAGGCTTGAGCAGGGTCCTGTTCCTGATTTCACCCCCCAAAATCCTTCAATCTGCCCCTGTACATGGAGAGGCAAGAATGAAGTTAAGGGCAATGCCTCCCACACTTCTCATATGCCTCTAAATGTCATGGACACGGGGAATATGGTCCGGGGGGGGGGGGGGGGGGGGGGAAAGGACGTTTGCAGCACAACACAGCACCATTGGCAGAAACCTAACACACAGTCTGACATAATGACCGACTAAGGAACTGAACTAAGGCAGGAACATAAATACACAAACTGAACTGGCTAATGAAGCAGCAGGGGTGAGACACGGAACAATTAACCAGTCAGAGAGTGAGCAGGACAACGAGCATCCAGGTAGAACAATCATGATGCACAGGAAACAGGTGGGTCAAATAAACTTAATGATGGAACCAAGAGACCAAAACGGAACCTGAGAAAGAGAATCAAACACTAAGAATATAACAAAGACAAGTAATACAGAACCACAAACTCAGGCACCTAGCAAAACCCGAACCCGAACGCAAACCAAAAACTAGGAACAAAGAAACTAAAACAGAAAATAAACACTGGGGAACAAATCCAGTAATTAAAAATAAAGAGGAAGCTGGTCTTAAACTCAGGACCACAGAGTTTATAACCACACACTCAGCCCATAGAGCTATGCAGCAGCCTGGGGGGAAACACACTAAGGGCTTGAAGGACACAGGGGGGACAGGATGGCCAGCGACACCTGCTGGAGAAATGTGGGTGGGAGATACGAAAGGTTGGGGAGGACAGGTGCTTACCCTGACACCAAGCCAAGGCAGAGCTGGAAATAAAACTCAATAAAGTTCACACAAAATTAATAGATAGTATTAATATGTCTCACAAGTCATGTGGGTATAACAAAATTTATACAACTATATATATATTATATATATATATAATATTAGCTTTATCCAAGGTATCTAATACATATGCACCAAGTTCATGGATGGTTTGGATTCAAAGATACCTCAGTACTCTAAACACCCTTTGCCACTTTAAATCTGCTGCTTAAATCCTGTTGGGTTTTCAATATTAAATCCAATATTATTCTTCTGTGAATTAACTGGCTATGGTGATTCCTCACTCCCAAAGGCTGATGATATATCAGCAGAGTTGACAAGCTATTCCCCCCCAGACTACAATTATCTCTGGGTCTGACAACAGCTCTTGCTACAGTAGTCCATTGCCATCATTGTGGTTATGTTTTGTGCCGCTGTATGTGATCAAAGAGCAAATTTCCGAAACTAACTTTCGGGAAAATATCTGTGGACAGTGAGTTTTGGAAATGTAATTAAAACTGAGAGTTTTGGTTCCCAGTACTGTAACATGATGAGGAAGCCTGACTTTAGGTCACTGGCGGTCTCATCTCAAAATCAACAAAAAATGGATTGAGTGAGTTTTGCTCTTCAACTATTTCACACATACATCTTATTTCAAGATGTTGAGGAGCCAACAGTAAAGTGATAATTATTAATTAGTAATTCATAGGGATTTATGATACATGAATCCATCATACAAAGAAGCAGAGCTGGAAATAAAGCACTGCTTGGGGGGGGGGGGGGTTTGATAGCCCTTTGTGACCCTTTATTGTATAAGTAGATGGGAGATGGCTGAATGGATGTTAGGCTGGTTATCTCAGCTAGTATTTAATCAGTGTTTAACAACCCAGTCCTTGGGGATCCCAAGACAGTCCAGGTTTTTGCTCCCTCCCTACTGCCAGCCAATCAAACACAATGAATACCTTTACAGTGCAGGCGTGTTGGGAGCTGGGAGGGAGCAAAAATATGGTCTGTCTCGGGGTCCCTAAGGACTGGGTCAACAAACACTGAACTCCACCCTATATCATGGCACATTACATGATGCTTCCTGGTAGACTCTGAAGTTGCTGACGGCTCTCACTGACTGATGTACGGTCACAGAGGAGTGAGTCGACTGCTTACCGCAGGACATCCGCGTGAGCGCCGTTCTGTCTGTACACCAGTGCGGAGCAGATGTGGAGGTTCCTCGTACCTTCTGCACGCTGGGCGGTTCTCTGGTGCTCATTTCCCTCCCAGGCACGGCACCACACGGAGCCCCAAGTCTGCCTCACACGCCGGAGTGCCCTCATGTCACCGTCCAGGAACAGGTCACCCTCTCTCTAGGACGTAACCAGCCTAAGCTCACTTCTTCAGTTGGGAATGTCCTGTCTGCGCTGCTCCTGACCAGCTCTGCATGACCTAGGACTCCACTTTCTTTTGTCACTGGTTAACTCTGCCCTCTCTGGCACTGAATGGCTCCACCCTCCCTACTGCTATTGTTGGGGCGTATTTACAGAGCTCCACCTTCTCCAGCAGTGAACAGCTTCACCCTCACTACCGCTCTTGGTGGGTTACATTTACGTTCAGGGGCGCCGTAAAGGAGGGGAAAGTTAAGACGATTCCAAGGGCCCCGGAGTAACGGGCCCTAAACAATTTGGAAAATAGACTGGGGGACCCAATATGATATGCTTTCATGGAACCCAAAATCTTTAGCAATGCCTTTGTTTATGTTTATTTAGTATATGCCTGTATCCAAAGTAACATACAATAGAGAAAGTAGGGTCAGCCTGTCACTGGAGCAATTGGGGTTAAGGGCCTCACTCAGGGGCCCAACTTTGACCATGGGATTTAAACCAGCGATCTTCCAATCACATGCATGCATAGTCCTAATCCATGACTCTACAAAGCTGTTTCCACTGAATTTTCAAGCTTATAAAATGCAGTCTTGAAATTCCATATTCTCTTCTGGCAGTACTCACACAATCTCAATAAAGAAAATGCTCAAAGTGGCATTTTCAGCAGTGGATATCACTGCATCTCTCGCCAGGGTTGGGCGTTTCCCCCTGTCTGCAGGCGTGTAGTTGGCATGTTCTTCCCGTGTTTGCCTGGATTTCCTTTGGATCCTCTTATTTTCTCCCACAGTCCAACAACATGTGTTTAATTGAATTGGTGTCTCTAGACATCCTTCAGTGTGTGACTGAGTGTGAGCTGATGGTCTGCAATGGGCTGGTTTCTATTATGGGATGTCCGCTGTATTATGCACCATGTTTTATGGGATGCACTTCTTAATTAAAACTGCTTAATTCTAGTTTGCTCATTCTTTAAAACGAAAGATTTAGAATAAAATAACATCCTTCTTGGTCTGCAACACGACATTTTCAGTGTTGACTTTTTGCAGTGTTTTTAAAAATTGTGTGAAAAGTGTCATGGCGTAAATTAGAAACTCTCACTTCTCATTTCTTAAATAGGTATCTCAGCGTTTTGTCAGTTCATACCCAGGAAATGAAGCTGACCAAGTGTTTTTGAAGATTTCATAAAAGATCAAACAAAATGGGAACTGCAGGGTGTCTCTGAAATGTGTGCAGACTCAAATGAAAGACGCACTTTCACTTCAGTAAAAGAGATATATTTGTAAGTGCATTACAGGACTTCCGTGCAGCGTTGTCACACCATGCATACGTAAGAGGCATGTGGCTACAGTTCAAAAGAAGACCTTTCTATCCTTCTATAAAACCACACAATTATTTTGTATGGGATTGATAGATAAGTCCTTCCTGAATGAGATATTGACAGCTTTGAAACAGAAAAAAACAGCAAATCCAGTCATCCAATCACACACAGCTAGGCAGAATACTGGGGAACAGGAAGGATTGTGGGAAATCTTTTATGCTCTGCTTTTAGTGTGGTGCCACAGGTATTGATGCAAGCAGATGGCTCCCAAGCGGACTCAGTTTGATGGGCAGGTGAGAGGCTGCACCCCATGCAGCTCCAGCGCCCTCTGCAGGTGAATTTCCTGAACCTTGGAACCCTTGATCAGCTTGAGGTTGCGCAGACAGCCCTTGAAAGGTATGCTGGTGGTCAGCCCAAACTGCTTCTGTCCATCTGAGACAAGACACCAGAGAAGAAGATCAGACTAGAGCGAGGTCGTGCAGAGATGGCTCTCAGCAAGCAGACCCCGCATATTGTCACCTGAGATAAACTGCTTAAATCCAATTTGAAAATACTTTAGAAATATCTATAAAATGAATCCCTCTGAGCCAGTCTGCAAAGTACAGTAGGATACAGAAAAATCTAAAAATAATGATAAACATTGGGTGTTTCTCAATATGAAGAATGCAAAGATTGTACTTGTGGGCTTGGCAAGAGCGGTCTTGCTATCTTGGCTCCCAAGAGCAAGCTTGGGGCACAATGAATCATGGGATTGTTCTCCTATGCAACTGATGCATCCTTGATATATACGGTGGGGCAAGAACGACATCTGGGATTTTTTTTTATCATCCTCTATACTTCTGTTCTTGAGTACTGGAACTGGTCTTTGGCAATGGAAGATGATGTAAGATGGGTATGTGAGAACCCAAGCACGGTCAAGTACGCATACTGAGAAACATCCATAGTCAGGAATGCCATCTGAGAAGCTTCCTCAGAGACGGGACGTAATGCATATCTCAGGTCAGCTGGGGGTGGATGAGGGACCCACCTGGGTAACCCCCGACATAGACGGGGTCGTTGGTGTCCACCGACGTAGACCTGACGTGGGGGCTTTCCGCTTCCGACTTTTGGCCGTCCACTGTCAGCTCCAGCCGATGCTTCAGCTTGTGGGCGATCACCGAGTGCCACTGGCCATCACAGAGGGCGGCCTCCGTGTCGGGCTCGTGCACTGCTGTGACCCGGCCCAGCCCGTTGTCCATGTGGAAGAGCAGCTGGGCAAAGGGCAGCATTGCTCGAGTCACCAAGCGGCACCAAGCGGCACCAAAGCACACAGCTCACACTCTCCTAATCCTTACTGCAAAAGCACTTCCGTGGAGATGGATGGAGAAACATCATATATACTTTTCAAGCCAAAGGGATGGAAGTCTGAGGAAGACTAAGAAAGTCTCACTAACACTTCCTAGGCATGTCATGTCAATAAGAATATATAAACACATTCATAACACACTATAATGCATTCATAAAGCATTATACATATATAAAGATAAATATCCATAAAAAGACATAACACATTACAGCCAAGTTTATTATACATCATGAATGCTTTAAACTCTCATCTATAATGCACTATAGATACCTCCATAATGCAGCACAAAGCATCCATAGTTGTTATACCGCCTTTATAATGCATTATGAAGGTATCTATAGTATATTATAGATGAGAGCTTTATTGGAGCTTATGGAGTATTAGAATCAACACTATAATGCCTTATGACTGTCAATAGAAGATGCTGTAATGTTTTATCAATTTTTATCATGACCATAATAATGCGTTATGAAAGTATCTATAATGTATAAATGACAGCTTGAAATGTTACCGAATTCTCTTTCAGATGGATGACGTGGGGGGGTTGGAGGGGGAGGAATGAATGGGAAAGCTGGCAGTTAATGCCCCAGGAATCACGCTGCTATTGTGCCACATGAAAGGTATCTGGTAAAACACTGGCCTGTATAAATATACGGAAAACAGTACGGCTCCCTGCTAAATGTCCAGCAGGACTGGTGGGGGTGTTTCAGATCATCTAGGAGACGAGTACCTTGCCGTTGTGCAGCTCGATTCCCAGGCCGTCCATCTTCTGACTGCTGACCCCAAGCAGGACGCCGCTGCTCTGGGAGGTTCGGAACTCCAGCTCCATGGACATTTCCATGCCGACTTTGTAGCTGTTCACTGGACGCATTGCAGGGATATGAGCAAGGACATTTAGTACTGCAGAGTCCTTACAGTGCTCACATATCCACCTATCTAGCTCTTGAGTCACACAAGTCATCAAAAGTATACAATTTTATTACATTTTCAATCCAAATGCCCAACAGTGGGTTGAAGGACTTTAGTCAAGGTGTGCTGTACCAGTCAGGAAAATATTACCAATGTTATAGTTAAACATCAGAATCAAGCCAAATCTTACATTTTAGAGGAGCTAGCTCTTCAAGGTCACAGGAGCATACATCCTCCCCCTGCTATCACCTGCAGCACATTCCACCTGCAGTGTAACCCACCTGCTTTGGCATATCCCACCTTCAGCGTATCCCACCTGCAGCATATCCCACCTGCTTTGGCATATCCCACCTGCAGCATATCCCACCTGCAGCATATCCCACCTGCTTTGGCATATCCCACCTGCAGCATATCCCACCTGCAGCATATCCCACCTGCAGCATGTCC